ATGGGATGAAGGCGATCGGGAGGATCAGTCTCCGCTTCCGGTGGCCTGAGGCAGACAAAATGCTTTTCTTACTTGTGTCTACACTGCAAAAATGCTTCTCACTCACATTTTGGTCTCGTTACTCTAAACGTCTAAAAATTCTTACATCAAGGAGCAAGTAAAAAATATTGTCTTGTTTTAAGGAATAATGAGTCAAAATTAAGTGAGTTTTACCTTTAAACAAGCAAAATATTCTGCCGATGGAGTAAGTGAAATAATCATAGTTTTCGTTTTGGTATAAGATTATTTCTACTTACCCTATTGGCAGATTATTTTGCTTGTTTTAAGGAAAAACTCATTTAATTTTGAGAATGTTGAGATATTTGGACTAGAAACAAGACCAAAACTCTTTGGTCAAAATCTTTTGCGTTGTACAGTACAAATATGTAAAAATGAGTGTCGGGCAAAGATTAATCACGTCAAAAATATTTATTATGTATATATAAATACACATACATGTGTATATTTCAGAAAATAAAATTAAATTTACATGTAAAGTAAATATATCTATAATACAAATTATATATACATTGAAATATCTATGTAACGAAGTAGTTATTATGTATATACAGTAAATAATAATGCACACTTGTGTCAAAACAAACTATTATTTTAGATGCGATAAATTGTGATTAAAAATCATTTATATTATATTTTATATTATTTCTTATATTATTTACAATTTTTTTTTCAAAATTCTCATTTTCAGAAATGCTAATTCAAAATGAAGACATTTTTTTTGTCTTGTTTTCTTAAAACATGATGAATAATTTGGGGTAAATAAAATAATCTTACCCTAAACCCAAAAACAGGATTATTTTGCTTGTTTTAAGAAAAACTAAATTAATTTTAACTCAAAATTTCTGAAAATAAAGCAATGGTTTTCACTTGTCTAGGAAATCCCTCTTAATTTATGAATTTTTTGATATTTGGACTAGAAACAAGACAAAAACTCTTAAGTTTTAAAATCATCTTTTGCAGTGTACAGTACAATTATATATATAAAATGAGTTCTGGGCAGAGATTAATTATGATTAATCACATCCAAAATAAAGGTTTGTTTTGATATTATATGTGTGTGTTTATTATGTGTATAAACACATAACACATGCATGCGTATATCTGTTATATTCAGATGTAAATATATAAATGGATATGATAGAAATTATATCTAAATT